TCGCATTTTGGTCGGAAGGGGGTCGCAATTTCGAGGACTGTCAGCCACAGGCGCGTGCGTGGCGTATCCGAGGGCAAGAATTGTTTGTGCAGACCGCATTAGATTCGATTAATTATGCACAAAGAGACAGTTTTGGGCAAATTACGGTGTTTTCCTTGAGGAATAGAGAACAGTTGAATGCATCTCCATGAAAAGTTTGACTTCTTGTGGCTGAAATTGAACTTCTTCGGGAACCTACTTTTCTACGGACGGTTTCTTCCACAAAATCGTGAAACACATAAGAAAGAAGAAACCTCGCGGTCTTCAAAAATGTCTTCGCCTCTTTCCAACATGCTCTTTGAAGGAAGTTATTATTGCTGAAAGCTCGAAACCTCGCATGTGCTGCTCAAAAACCTATGGGATCCAAATGTTCGAACGTGGGATTTTCTCGAAAAATGAACTTTGAAAAATGGTTTAGGGCTTGTTAGAAAGAGCAAATTCCTGCTCTTTCACCCCATGGAAAGAGGGAAACACAGCAATCAAAATGAAGTGAGTTATAGCTCGCTGAAAGCCAAAACTCTCGCGATTTCAAAGAAATGATGATTCCGGCAAACAAAAAGCCCGAAATGAATTATTCGACGTAGAAGAGAATTCACTAGAAAAAAGAACATACTATGAAAACATGGTGACTAGGAGTTAAACTTAGAAAAGAGCAAAACCGCCTCTATAGCACCAACCAGGGTGGAAAACAGAAGGCGACACCACAAAACACAGCAATCAAAATCGAAGGAGAGTTATCAGACGCTGAAAGGCACTATAAAACACGTCACCGTTATACTATGAAACACCGGAACTTGATTCGAACGAGGACCCGAACATCCCGAAGATTCAAGAATACCACGCGCCAAACTATTAATAGAAAAAAGAAGAAAAGACAAATCAAAAATTAACTGTTACGATCATCTAATTCGTATAAGAGAAAAATAATTATAGAAAGTTATCTAAAAAAATTTGACAACAAAATTATCCAAGAAAATGTAGCAAATAAACGAAAAGAATTTTTATCATTTAGAGCTCTCAAAAAGTATCGGAAGGCATGCAGCACAACTTCATAACAGAATTAATGAACCGGATTCATTACCGCTGCACTGACAGACATAACTTTTGGGAAGAGTTAGGATCACCTAATGCAATTACTTACAAAGATAAACAGCCAACACTCAGGCACAGTTTAAAACCATACCTACAATAGCTGAAACCAAAATACGTCTCAAAGAAAGATGACACTCTCCATAAAAAACTATTATACTTCGCGACGGTTACCCGCAGATATTTCACAAACGTCACGAGAGTGATACCTAGCAGCATCAAGGTTGACGCGCAAACGACAAAACGCTATTCTGCAGGCAAGGATTCATCAGACGCAATCAGGTCAGTCACTTACTCTTCTTTAATCCCTTCCATCATATTTTATCAAAGCGGATTAATAGAAGCCCAGAAGATAATACATGTCAGTAATTCAATAGTTACATAATGTAATGAAGAACGAATACACCATATTATAGGATCTTAGACACAACTTTCACCATAATATCATCCTCATAACTTACATGGCAAGTGATGTGTAGAAAAGGCAGAAAACAAAAATTTTGATCTCGCGAGGCTAACCATAAAAAATAGCTTTCATTATTGCCCTGTGATTCTTGCTCCTTTGGGGCTCATCTTAGGAGATGCATTGATGGAGAACGTAACTCTCTTTGATTTACTCCCTTGAACTGCTCTTGTGATTCTTTCGGAAGCATGAAGTTTGAAGTTTTGGGCAACATGAAAAAAATATTGAATTTTTTTCAGAAATTCAATGATTTTTTGAAAACAATTCAATTCAAATTTCAGTGAAGATCTCAATATTCAAATGTTCTGTTCATATTTCATGGAAGTTCATTGTCCATTTGAAAACAATGAACTTACGAACTTACGAACACAACATTTGAATATTGAATTCTTTACTGAACATTTGAATTGAATTTTTTTCAAAAAATCATTGAATTTTTGAAAAAAATTCAATGATTTTTTGAAAAGAATTCAATTCAAATGCCAGTGAAGAATTCAATATTCAAATGTTTTGTTCTATGTCATGGAAGTTCATTGTCTTTAAAAGGTTTTAGTTCACTGTCTTTGAAGTAAAATGAGTGAAATAAATATTTCACTTAACATTTAGTCAGCACATTCGGCACTTCCATTACCTAAGAGGGGGTCGCAACTGGACCCCCTTGAGATAAGGGGGTGACCCCCTTGAGAAAAGGGGGTCGCAAAAACCCTGAAAATGTTCGAACGTGACGGTTGACCCTGCCCCGCAGACCCGATAGGAATTCCACGCGAACACGGAAATATAACCATGTTAGCGAGAAAGTAAAATGAGAATGCGGCGGATCGTTTTCTAAGCTATGGCGCCACAAACCTGATGTGTTGGGTATCGTGGAGCTTGGAGTGGATGGCATTTGAGGCCTATAGAACGACTTTGTAAAGCTTACAAAGTGTTCAATGGAAAGGTTCGTTCAGCGGGCGAGATGCGTTCCTTTCCAGAAACCAAAGGACAGTTGAAATTTAAACTAAATGGATACCCTTACTTGTTTGAGCTAGGAAGTACGTTTGGAACGAAGACTAAAATGCCCTCAAATCCCCACCACTTCAATTAGAAAAAGTCCGAATAATATTATTTCGGAATTATCTTATAATCATGATAATGATGAGATAATTAATGTATCACTAAACGAAATAGGTTAATTAATTCAATTTAGTGTACAATAAAAATAATAATACTATTATACGAAGAGTGGGGGCGGAAGTGGTGCAGTGACAAGTGGCGCGCTCACCACGCGAGCGGTCCGGGATCAAATCCTGGGTCGTGAGTCGCCCGGGCCAACCAAGCCTTCCATCCCTCCGGGGTCGGTTAATTGGTACCAGACTTGTCTGGGAGGATAAAAACACTGACTTGAACATCGGCTGGCCCCCGCAAGTCATTGTATAGGCCACATCGCATTCAAACGCCACTGCGAATGTACAAATGGAAGTAGAATGCGTGCCGCATCCCAAAAAGGGATTGATCAACGGCAAATGCTTTATCCTTTATTTTATTTATTATTAGAAAGCATGTAACAGGAAAACCGGTGACTGCAAAATTTAATTAATGCAGACTGTAAGGTATTGCAAATCTTTGCAGGGATTGTGGATCCGCCCCCTTTCATGCAGTCGCCCAACTCCTATATTTTTTCCTTGTACATAAGTTCTAGAGGAGTAGGAGGCAGAATTAAATCTTCTTCATGGAAAAGCTAGATGAAGGGGATCATACTAGCCATTGTTCGTAAGAATGAGAGCAAGTGAAGCAGGGCGACCGTTGATATTTTTTGCTGAAAACGCTAAGGAAATGAAACGGAAACTCCCAATTGAACTAAAATGGGATTAGAGTCCAAGGAAAATTGTGGTCGCTCTGATTCCGCTGATCTCATAAATCTACTACAAATGTGCCTCGACACTTGCGTGCTCGCAAAAGCTTAAGACGCGAGTGAACACGTAACCAATTTTTTTAAATTAACATTCTTAATTAAATTTTTAGAGCTCTAGTGGACTTAAGCGCTATCCTGTATTTTGTTGTTCTGCACTGGATGTTAGCTAAACGCGTTTTTTGTGCCGTTCAAGCTCCTATCGAGCTATTTATCTGGGCCGATGCAGACAAGACCGCTCGCAAGGAATATCCCAGTCGTCAAATGTCAAACGAGGAAACTACACATCATACAGACGGCACACTCATCCTGTTAAGTTTGCACACCGTGTAGTAACATTCTAAAGCTAGGAAACCAAACTGGAGTGTGAGGAAGAAGGGCAAAATCACACTCATGCGCGGAACGCTGGTGGACCGAACCTCAATTTCTTTCAAGGACTGTCTTTTTTCCTAAGCACAGGGGAGGTCCAGTGGAAAACCTACAGTAGTGCAGCATCTTCGATGTACGATATGGCCACCACAGTGATGGGCACTCAGTCAACTGTAATGACACGGATACGATCAGGATTCCGGCTGGCATGACCTCCCGACAGAAGATTGTGGAGGAATTGCAGAAAAATGTTGGACACTGCAACACTTCGAATTCATGCCGTACAGTGGATGGTCGTCGAGGTTCTAGTAAAGATTTTGCAGTGATATTCACTTTTATCGAACAACTTTTGGACTGATGAGTTGTTTTCGAGCTGAGTATAAAGACTGGTAACAGAGAAGACCAAAGATTTGAAAAAATGCGCTATATTGCAAGATATGGGGGCATTTCACGGACAACTCGTCAACACTATCTATTTTCAGCGTAAGAAACGAGGGGGGACCCAGAGGGTGGTGTTATCAATTATCCATTTCTTCCGTACGTGATCCCTTCGGCCGCCTCTGCATACACACTTACATTGGTCCTAAGGGAGGCCCAATATCTGGCATGGGCGCCTAACAGAATGGAAGGAAGCTGAACCTTGGAATAGATGATGATTGAGAGAAAGGAAGTAATGCTTTAAAAAATCCGCTAAGTGTTCCATTGATGCGTGTGATCCATCGGAAATTCATAAGTCACCTTCCATTAGCGCATTAGCCATTACTAGTAGATATGAAGCTTGCGTGCCGTGTATGGTGCTGCTGAGAACGATGAGGGAAAACTAGACAGGATTTTCAAAGCAAAAATTTAAAGAAAGGTCGCCGAAAAAGAAACAAAGGTCGTTCAGTCCTGGAAAACGTAGTGCAGTTCATACGCGCGCTACGTTGTCTTCATTCGCTCCTAAAGGAATGACCCATAAAAAAAAATCACTATGACATATCCACCACACCAGCTATGTTAAGCTTGAGAGCCACACTTCAACGAAAAAAAAAAAACAAAAATTCGCCGTTATATCATATTACACTGCACATTGAACATATGCTTAGCGATTCTTCACTTAATTGATATCGATACCTCAAGAAAATCATAAGAGCATTGGAATTCATCGCAATTTGAATGCAAATTTCGGTCCCCACAATGATTTCGGCGGAATACCGGCCAATGCTGGGCGAGATTTCACCAAGAATTTGATCCTTGGATCATGCGCAGAGACGGTGGAAACTCCTTCCAACTGCGCCAACTTTACCCCACCTGTACTTGGGCCATCACAAAGCAATCTGTAGTAGTGTTTTACATTTCAGCGGAGCACTATAATCGTTTCATGCTCTCCCGTAACCATTTCGAAACGCCATTGCTGTCGTCGGCACGTCTCGCTAACAGAACTCTGGTCATCTACGGTCAGAGGCCGGTGTAGCCACTGCCACATTGCACCAAAGAGGCTATAAGGCCGTTCACCTCTCCGGAAGTGGGTTAAGCTCAGCTTGCCAAAAAATAGCTCTAGAATGATTATGTTTACCTTTCTTGAAAACTTCGTTGTTCCAGATATCCCCTTCTACAAGACGTTCTACCCAAAAGGGCTAACATCAAAAACCGGGTCAACTTTGGACATTACTGTGCTTGCCGAGGCCCTTCAAAGGAAAATGTGAGTAAGCAAAGCTTAATTGTGGTAATTTACGCACAAGCCATTTTTTGTATACAGTTCGACTTGCTTTCTGGCATAGTTCAGACCTAATCACCATTAGTAGAGCTTCTCCATAAAATTCTTCTGTCATTTCTATTTTTCTCTTCATGATCTTCGAATGGACTTCTTTTTTTGAATATAGATATGCATTGCCAATTAGGAGCAAAACTTGTGCTACAGTTTGATTTCTTTATTATTTATTACTGATTTATTATTGAGGTTGAGATATGTTGAGTTGATATGCGGCCGAACTTGGACTTTTCAAGCGGATTCTGCATCGAGGGCGGCCGGTCTATGGCGAAGCACTTCAGCGTCCCGCCTTCGTAGCGTAGAAGCTAAAAGTAGGACACCAGCCGTCAAAGCGAAAGCTCCATGGAAGTAACAAATTACGCTCAGTTTATGTAAATACCGTAGTTTCATATGTCCCCCCCACCACCATATCCTTCCAATTGATCGTCGTTAAGCTCATAAGTTATTGTAATCTTTTCGAATTAATGGTAATTATGTCTACATAAACATTTCATACAAACCTTATTTTAACACACTTTTTATCTTGAAGGCACAACCCAGGCAGAGGTCGTGTGTGAACGCTTCTCTTCGGTCAGAAGTATAGAACCCTAGGGGACAATCACAAATGTGGCGTTCACGTGCACGGAATTCGACCGACAAGAACGCTTTGGGCTTGCAAAGTAAGCTGCTCGAGCTGCAGCGAACGAGCTCTCTTATCAGGCCGTTGTCTGGTGCTCTCTCATCTGATGCGCTCTCTCGCCCCATACTCTCCTCTTCGCGCTTAGTCTCTCGTTCCTTTAGCACAGCCAATTAGGAAGGTGAGTGAGCCCTCAACCTGAGCGTTTTCGACGGATTCTTTTCCTTTTTTCTTCACTGCCGGCCTAACTTCGGCCGCACGCGATTCGAGCAAAGCGGACATGCCCGCGCGACCTAGTCATGGGCCTCCTCGGGCTTGCGCGATTCCGGGGCCGTCACCCTTCGCGTCTGCGCTTAGACATGTTACAGAGGAGAGCGTTGGGGCGTGTCGAAGATGGGCCCGAGCACCGATGAAAGTTCAGAGCGCGGGGATCAAAAGGCAGAAAGGGGTTTCTCATAGCTTAGAGTTTCTGGGGCGAATTGGTGTCGCGGTGTATTACATCGGGCACCACTGTCCCAGCCTGCTACCTTATTCTAATGAGCTGACATGTTTGATCAGAATTCCGCACTAAGTTTCAATAAAGCGGATCGCGCTCAAAATAATCCCTGATCCACGCAGCAAGTCCAGAACTACAGATTATGACGAAAGTTCAGTTACACTCAACTGGCGGTGCTTAGCGTTCACGCAAAAGCGTAACGAGCCGCGACGTTGAAGCGAAGTGATATTTCAGAAGCGAATTCGTATCCAACACCAAAGCAGTTACCCGTTTCAGGAGTCGCGTTGATCGATGACGAAGACGTCCGTACAAGCGATGATTTAGGATCATGTCGTGTACGGTCGGGCGAGTACTAGCTGGCAGAAAAACTGCAATAGTTGAAATCATAGCACAAGCGGAATGCGGTAGCTGTTATGCGCGCCGGAAGAAACGGACAGACTTCAGTGCGCCGGAACGTTTTTGTCGCAGTCCCGCAGATGGTCAGAAATCAAACCATTTCTAGGGAGCACCACCTTTGACATCTCATTGTTAGTCTTCACAGACCATGCCAACCATATCGCTTCTGCACCATTTGAAATGTCGTGTACAGCAACAATACGATGGACCATCGAGGCGTCGGACTGTGTCCCCTAGTAATACAGCGCCCAAGAGCAACCCCCGACATGAACCACATGCAGAATACATTCGCTAGGTAAATGTCTATGGAACAGTTGGGGGCGCTAAACTGGACATGGATCTCGAATTCCCAGTCCGCCCGTTCCACTCAATGGGCCGCACTCTTCAGGCCCTGGCGACTGGCTCCACTCCACAAACACGAGAGTTTCTTCAGAGTGACAGCACTTTACTACCTGCGATATATCATAGGTTCCATACGTCGCAAGGTAGTCGAATAAGTCCGCGAGGAATGATGAAGGTTGGAAAATCATGAGAGCAAAAAGAAAACACACAATTCACAGGAAGGAACAATTTATACAAGCGCTGAGAGTCTGGCGTTGGTATTTAATAATAAGAATGGAACATTCTCAGCTAATAAGAACTAGCGACTTGGCACATAAAACAAACACACACAATTGAGCATTCCCTATAAAAAAACACCTTCCACTACATCACACGCCTAGAACTCAATCAATTTCTTTCCATAAAAGCTCACTGTCGACTTTGTTTTTCGATGACAACATGATATAACAAACGTTTAAAATTCTAGATGTAACCACAATCTATCATCTACTAATCTCAAAACTAGTAAAGCAAGAGTCGAAATCGCGCGTTCCTTCAGTCAGCTGGAAGGAAGCCAGTAAACACGGTAGCTCTGAAAGAAAACAGGTGCAGTAGATCAGAGATGATTGGATATCTTCATGAAGAAAGGCGTTATGTTATCTTTCCACCGTTGAGGGAGGGAAGCTGCAGTTATCTCATATTTTCCTGATAGGCTTCGCCGCGAAAGGGGCGGGAATTTGTGGAGCAATTTTTTGAGCGCGGCGGGATGTTGGCAAGAGACAAAAAATCTAGTTGGCGAAACAGGAGAGAACCGTTTCCATTGAAAAGCTTCGAAGGGATTCCCTCTGTCTCTCTCACAGAAATAATAACTGGCCAGAGGGTGCATAGAAATACGGCCCGGTGAACTCATAGTGGCGTAGTGGTGGGGACCCTTCCAAGTTAAAAGAAGAGCACAGGGAAATATTCGGTTGAAAGTTCAGTCTTGTACAAAATAATGTCACAGCCGAAAAAAATCCACGGCAAAAGTGATTACTTAATCGCTTCCAGATAGCTGAAAGAGAACTGCATCAAAAATTTACTAACCTTGGTAGGAGGTCTGGACTGATGAGAGGTAAACCAGCTTTTTCTCGTCTTGCTATTTCTAAATGTGCTTCACGGAGAGCCCATTCGCGACCCATCGGCCTTGAATAAACAAGATTGTTGGTAAGATTGCATCTGTATACATTTATTACAGCGCGACGTATTTTTGGCTCGTCCGAGCTGTCATGCGGCAAATCGCGCGGCGATCCGGACGAGGCTTCGCGGGCTTTTGCAGCCACCACATCAAAGCGTGTGCAGATCGCGGATAAAATCTGCAAGGTTGGAAGATAATGATGAAGATGGCAAGGAACTAGCATATTTATAGCGATAAGGACGCTAATGTCGCTGGAGGGGGGGGTATACTCAAGTGAGTGAGTCAATTACTCCACCTGAAAGAAGAGGAACTAAGCCTTATGAAGGGAAGGGATTCTGGGGAAGAATGTGAGCAATTTGTGCTTCTCCGACGTTTCTGCCCTCTCCTTAGGCTTAGTCCTTCACATACGTTCGACCTTGTTTCCAATGTTCCTCTAAGTACATAAGCGCCACGATCAGCAAAGCATACTTAGTTGACAATAGATAACTCCAGCTCAGTATAAATCCCTAATTTTAGTGTTTCTATTCGCTTTTATGATAGTAGTGATATTTCCATGAAGGTTCTCTTCATCTCTTTCGCTGACATCACCGCTATTCAAATCTCCGCGCGCGGAAAGTTATTTCAAACCGAAGAATCATGCAGAGTTTATTCGCAATCTGCACACGCTTAGACGTGTTGAATTCTGCTGCGCAGAACCCGCGCAGCCTTGTCTCACGCGGATCGCCGCGCACTTCGCCGCGTGCACGTCGGAGGGGCCAAAAGTCCCGCACCCCCATTACAAACGCTGAGCCGAGAAACTAATTTCTCGACAATTTCAAAATCTAGAACAGAAAATATAAAAGACGAGCACGACAGTTATAAAATTCAGGACAAAAACTGAATTTGGAGTATACTTGAGGAAGGAACAAAGCACAGATTAAAAAGCATCAAATATTCTCAAAAGAGATAACGTACCAGTCAGGACGAGCAAACATAATCCAACATGTTACCCAAGTAGTTAAAACGGTGAAGACGAGAAATACCCCCTGAAAAAAAGCATGCATGATGTTCATAGCATTTCAAACCACTGCTTTCAAAAATTCCGAAAATTAGTCGTTGATTCATGAAATAACAGAGGAAAAAACGGCAAACAACTAGCCTCTATTCATGTACAAACACTGTTTCGAGGAAAAACCACCTCGTTTTGAACTGGATTTTCCGATAACGAGTCTATGTACAAATGTAAGTCTATGAAGCAGATTTTGAAGATTCGAACAGGAATACATTTCTATACCATTCCCGCCAACACTGGTGTTTTGAATGTGAACTTGTTATCGCGCTTCTATCAGCAGATTATTATGGCCCTGAGACAACAAGACAGAGCCAACGTTCACTGGTTTCCCACTTCACTTCGCTTCACTTCACTTTTTTCATCCTACCCTTCAATCTTTACCTAGATACGAAATGTGTAGCATAAGAGGGGAAATTACGCAAAAGGAGTCGCCTCCGTGTTAAAATGCGGGAAGTATGTGACGCGCTGTCAATGTGCTAGATCAGTTACCAGCGTCAAAAAAAAGTAATCGGGTTGAATCAATAAAAAAATAAGGGCAAGGTAAACAAAATTAAACGATAAGTTGAAAAAATAAAGCAACAAAAGTTCCAACGAACTTGGTGAAACTTGAGCCAATCCTTGTGTTCATCATGAGATACTCGTCCAAACCAAATCCATTCACGACGCTAAAACTAGCAGATTACAATCGCTAGACATGTTGAGTCTTCTTCAGTTACACTTTAGAGCACTTTTGGACTCCTTTTCTTTGCAGACCTTTTTATGACGAATGAATTCTAGATTCATTTCTAAAACATTCTCATTTTTCAGAAGAGGATTGCTGACTGGAAATTAATTTATACTTTTCACGCTCGAATACTTATGCTGTATGACCTAGTTTAACCTTCCTAAGTCCTTCACTCACAACATCACACCAAAGTCTTTCAGACATTTCTAGAACTACAATTCTCAAAGGGATTCTCCAGGTCAGAACTATCTTTCTCCCAGATGGATGGAGGGTAACGAAAACCCCATTGAAACGTGTTTTTTTTTCTTTGAATTATTTCCCTAACTTTTAGCAGGCTTTTGCTTCTACAATCACTACTCCACCAGAGGACCCCTTCTCGCGACATTTCTGTCTAGGAATATGAACAAGAATTTGCAGCAAATTCCGTCCTCCTGCCCCATCATAAGGCCACTATAGGGAAAGGTTTACCATCTTTGCTCCTTGATCCTTAGCTAGGGGACGTCTCCAGCCATCGCCAAATAACCAGTCGAGCCGTCCGCCATTGAGCTTCGGCCATGGATTGTCGTATGCATAGGTGTCTGTTCCAGGTCTGAAAATGATATTCGGAACATACTGGAACTGCATCCGACTCTTCTATTCCTATAAAGTCCGATCAATTAGTCGTGCAAATGCTCAAGAGTTGTGATTGAAACCTAATTTAGTGCACTGATAATTCGCAACTTATAAATCAGGCCCAATTACACTCAAATGCCTGACATCTCTGAACGTCGGCCGAATGCGTGAACCAACCCAAAAATGGCTGGTCAATTCCAAATTATTCATGCATTTTATTTATAAAAGTCCCTATATGGATGCCATTAGGCTTCCTTTTAGACAAAAAAATAGAGCTGTTTCTGACAAACCTAAGCCCCATAAAAAAGAAACTGTAGAATTGGTGTGTCTTCATTGTAAAAAAAAAGTAGAGCGAAGGAGGGAAGTAAGAAGATTCCAACTTCAGAGGGGCTCAAAATTCCTTGCCGAAACAACAGCAAAATCAAACGTCAAGATAATATCATTATCACTAGTGATGCGCTTATCGCAGCGCACCCAGGAGGGGTTACTGTTACTCACACATATTCGCCATAGTGGAACACACATGACAAAGAGTCACGTCCAACTCCTACCAATTAACGCCCACATTAATTTGCTCTTTGGATAGTGGCCTCTAAGCCTCCTATGTTAATTATCGGTTCTAGTATGTAGAAAGTACATGAACTTTTTATATAATATGAGGTATGGAAATAGATAAGCTCTAAGATATCCAGCATCACGTAGGGTTCAAAAAGGATGCTACACGGGTTTACTATGGGTTCATGCTCCGACGAGCTTTCCTTATGATTTTGAGTTTCTCTGATCAAAACGGTTACCTTTGGGCAAGAAGGTGGCATAACAACTTCAGCGAAATAGGGAAAGGTTTGAAAGACTTGAATGTGGAGGAAAATTAACACATTGACGACCGCGCGCGTTTTGGCTTTTTTGGCCGTGTGGGACCCGGGCCGATTTTGCGAGTGCGACCGCCGCACCTCGGATCCGTGAATTTTTATTGATAACTTTTTAAAGCACCAGTGGTACAAAAACATCTCAGTAACAGTCAATGCGTAGAAGGTAATAGAGTATATAGTGACGAAGTTCCGATTAAAGAACATGTAATGGTAATGAAAAAGGAAACTTTAGTCATTTTATCTGTAGTGGATGCCAAAAGCTCTTTTGATGTGGTTATACCAAGTGAAACATGTATTTTTCTGTCTCTTTAGATTTGCATTTACTTTCACTACCCTTTTTTATTGACGTGTTCATGAGAATAGCATGAAAACTATTAATGAACCAAGCCGCCGGTTTCGGTGAGCTTGGAAAACTTCTTCTAAACTGGAGCATATTTGAACAAACAATGACCTATGTCGTTCACAATAATGTTATGTTCTAATCCATAGAAGAGAGACAAACAATTCGGGAAAAAGCTGCGCATGCCCTAGAAAAAGGGATGATAAGGGTGAGACGCGGTAACGCGTCTCAATGTCCAACGAGGTGCGCAAAGTGAGACGCGTTACCGCGTCTCAATGTCGTCAATGTGTTTAAAAAACGAAATCCTAAACGTGCAGAAAAAATCGGAAAAAAAAGTTGCAAAAAATAACAGTGTAATTTGGACAAACCTGTACAAGTCCGGTTTTCGCTCTATGTTCGGATCTGTTGGTTCAGAATGAGACGACAAGTTTCGGAACAGGTCGCAAAGCACGCCACTGACCCGGGCGGCCACATACCCTCAGCATCATGCCTACAGCCCTTGTTTCAAAATGGTGTGCTTATCAAAGACTAAGCCACGGCGAGAACACAGTGGGTACATAAGCAAAGAACAAGTATGAACAAAGAACCTAAAGAAACTAATATTGACACTACACAGCCACGAATGACTAAGAAATTTTAAAGGGTAAAGATGACAACCTGATATTCTTTCTTGTAGAAGGGCAATAACACGACCTATTCTCCTAGATGTGGCTTTAATTATTCATCGCAGCGCTATCTGTCTCAACAAAACAATAGTCAAAAAATACAATCAATCGATGAAAATGTTAGCGGATGGTTCTAAGCGCCGCAAACCAACGTATATTTTAACTAAGAAACCCGACATTGGTGGTTTGAAAAGCCTCTTACAGGGCGAATACCCATCATCTCACAAGTTTCACGCCTTGAAATAGCCGATTATCCATGAAATGATCGAATACAGCTCTCTAGGGTGGCCAAAAAAAGTATGGCGCTTTTCGGACCGACAGCAGAACAACAGCTTTTACAGGGCACACTGAAGCGTAGAGGAAAAAAAAGGAAGCCGAATCACGCTAAATACAAACGTCATTGGTAATTTTGCAAACAAAAACAAAAAGGGCAGCAATGAGCAAAGGCAGCAGTCGCGTCAATTATGGTGTATACGTACTTGAACGAACCACCATACTCGCGCCTGAAACTTTTCGTATTTTGCTCAAACATTTAAGAAGCAATTGGTTTTTTAGTTTTTCAATAATGTCTTCGCTTAGAATGGATGTCACATCTAGTTTTGGATTGTTTCAGATTGGAATGACTGCCAATCATTCCTTATCAAAGGAACAAATTGCAAGGTATAGCCGTCAGCTGCTTATACAAGATTTTGGAGTAAAAGGTACGTGGGTGGTGCTAGAATTAAAATGATTAGTCTGGTTATGCTGAATGCCGCTTCCCAATCGGTGCTCATCGGCTTTCTGCGAGCCGAAAGGTCATTCAAATGGTATCCATTCCGCCGTTCAGCTGTCATCTGTCATATTCCAATTATTATTAAAACCCAGATTAGTCCCCCGTCAACCGCCGGGACCTTCCTTTAATGCGCAAGCTTTCTATCCTCCGCTATGGTCCCTTCCTCCTGTGACACCAACACCTCCTGGAAGTGACGCGTATGCAACACAATGGTGTTTCATACAGTAGAAGGGACACAATCATGATATGACGGTAGATTTTTCGCTTCCCTTCCTCATCCTCCCTTCCTCTCTCCACTGCCCTCCAGCTGCCACTGCAGCACCATGTGGAATGAACGGAAGTGTGCTAAGCAGGTGTTTATATAGCCCTAAGAGTGTTATCACAACTATCCTGCTACAAAACATTGATATCTCAAATCCTGTAAGCTACCCGATTTGTTAGCGGTTTGTTTATCCCATGAGCTTCCTTCTCACTCACTTCATTTTGCGGACGGACACACATACATACACACACACACATACAGATACACAAACCGACACACAAAGTTAGCGCTTTATAAAATAGAAGGATTAAGCGCCAGGAAAATATTTTGGTGCTAACTTAGTTGGGGGGGGGGCACGCGGCGGCGCGGCAGTCTGCTCGCCTGGCATGTTCGGAAATCCGTGGGCCAGGGGGAGTGTAGGCAGTCTAGGGGGTGGGGGTGGGGGCAGTCACTTGACATGCGTGAAAAGCTGGAATGTTCGAGTTTACACTGTCTCGCTCGAGAGAGCCCAGGTGAGCAGACTGCCGCGCCGCCGCGTGCCCCCCCCCCCCAACTAAGTTAGCACCGATTTCTTTAGTTCCGCAGCAGCGGTTAAGGAAACGAGAGGGGGGGGGAGAATAGTGGGAGCTCATTCGGACAAAGGGCGTGGTGCCCCAGGATTCACCTTGGAAAGTTGCTAGAAAGGGAGCTGTAATGCTCCGGAAAGGACGTGGTTGCGAATCGATCGACGGACTACTTGTGCGGAATAAGGAAATAAATACGCTTCGGTTCAATCTAATGATATTGGGTGTAACAGTTGGCAAGAATCTATTGGTGTTTTCTGGCACGCAACAGGGACATGTAGAGACTTTGTTAGCGCCTGCCTGTGCAATTCGATGAGCAAGGAAGGACAGGTGTTGGCCTGGACTTTATGTTTACCTACTCGTTATTTTGAGAAAATGTGG